TTGGGGGTGGGGGGGAGTGAGCAGGGTGAATAGAGGAGGTGTGAAGTGTCTGAGGTGTCAGAGGTGGAACAGCAGCAGTGGGGGTGGGTGGGTGAGTGAGTCTGGGTGAGTCTGCAGCCGATGTTGCAGACTGCAGACTGCCTCATGGCTGAATCAAATCTGTTGAAGAAATGATTCAGTTCATTTGCCCATCTCACATCCCTCCCAGGCAGAGAGTTCTGCTGTTTGTGGAATTATATGCAACATTCTCTGACTGGAATAAATTAGTTTAACATTTAAACCTATTTTCTGCACATTCCAGCACATAAAATAAAATAGTTTTTTGTGTTTACACTCACTCTTTCAAATAGATGCAAGTAAAACACAGCAGAAAATAAATAAAATCAAAGACTAGCGGTCCTGTTGCTCTATTTTCACCTATAAAGCAGGAGTAGGGTAGGCAGAGGTTTGCCCTGGTGCAGGTGTGCAGCAGCGGTCAGTTGAAGAATCCGCGAGTTTCTCTGTGAATTTCCCATTACGTCGTTGTGCACTCGGTGCTTGCTTGGAAGTTTAGGGGAGTTTTTTCGCTGTAAAAAGACGTTCTCTTCCCATGCACAACGGACACTAATGTTTTCGTCACTTTTTATGGAATCAAACTCAAAATAAGGTCAGTACTTCCACGCTTTAAACGCTGCACGCTCATACTCTCTCCCACACTCGATATATTATCCATTGTTGATCTGTACACAGCTGTTGTCACGAACGTCGCTTACATCACTGTCATGAGACATTCTCGCAAAAAATCAGTTTCAGTAACGCAGCATGCTTACGTGAAAGTAACAGTAATCTAATTACCGTTTTTGCAATAGTAATCCCTTAAGTTACTCGTTATTTGAAAAAAGTAATCAGATTACGCGTTACTGCCCATCTCTGATAAAATTTACTAAAATCTACTAAAAAATTACATCTTAAACCTCTGACAATAAAAAGTTACTGACCTGTAGTAGCAGCCGAGCTTCCATTGCCTCCTTGCAGGTGATAAAATAGGGTTTCATTAACAGAATATCTTGACGAAGTTTCTGTGGGAGAAAACACACACAAACATTTCTGTCACTCTTAGTGAATGGAGTGACTCACCCACTTGCCTGTCCTGGCAACACTGAATGAAAAAAAAATAATTTAGGGATAGGTTGGCTGACAACACAACTGTGAAAGTAATTATTTATTTAAAACAAGTCTATTAAAAATAAGCTGAAAAATAAACTTCAATGGGAAGCTACCCACCCTGATTTCAACCAGTTCCTCCACAAAGTTGAATAGCAGCGGGTTTATTTCTTTCAGCCTTAGCACGGGGCGTGACATCATCAGGGCCAGGTAGCGCATTGAGGAGCGACAGACCTGAGATAGAGACACTATCAGAACACAAACTGGCTCAATACGCCCTCAAAACACACTGACATACCTTCATCATAAGACAGTGAGCTTGGTTAATCCTGCACTGGTCGACAGCTTTAACGAGTAAATGTGCATCATCTGATTCAAATTCACAAACCTCGCCCTGAACTGGGATGATTTTAAAAGTAGGTCACATGCCACCAGATAAATGATTCTACCAGACACGGGAATGTAATTGAGTTGAGTGACATATAAATAACATTAATCTGACTTCCCTTGAGTAAATTTTTAAAACCTGGGGAAACTTCTTTAAAGGATGGTTTCGCAGTTTTGTAGTACTCTTTATGACTAGTAAATTGAGTTAATCAGTGGAATGTCCATGCGTGATATGCATGTATATGTATACGATTCTGTCTAACTTTGATGTAAAGCAGTAGCATCCACTAAATAATATTAAAAGCACATTTACAAATTCTAGCCTCTTTCAGTCCAATCAAAATGTTCAGATAACATGTTAATGAAATTTAGTTTACACATTTATAAATTTTATTTTCATGTGCTGAGTGTATCTGCGGTTGTTGAGGTTACCTTCCTTGATTCAAACTCCCAGTTGTGGATGACACGAGCTGGAATGACGGCCGTGTCATTCCAATGACATGTGCTGCAGTAATACTGGCCAGTGTAGTCACACTGTCTGGCTTCACTAGGTACGCCCCCTGCAAGATAAATACAAAAAAGTACAGTTAAACTATAAAACAAAAGAACATGTACACATCACCAAAATGCATTTAAAATACTATAGAAAACATAAATATCTAAATTTTCCACAACTAAGGCAACCAGAGGTCGTTTTATATATATATATATATATACACTCCTAATTGGGCTAACCAAACATAAACACATTGAATTTGTACTCACTCAGTGAAATTTGTGCACGACATTCTGCACAGCGGTAATCTTGCCGGTCTAGTCCTATTTCAGGACAAATACTGAGCTCGTACTCAGACTGGTGGCTGACCTTTGACCTGACACAGGGTTTAGTGATCAGATTCATACACTTACTATGGCAACGATAATAGCATCCTGAAAAAAGAAAGAGATAACTTCAAATTATAATATATAGTTTTGTTTTCGCCATCAAGATTACTCATTGTCTCACCTGTCACTGGTTCAGACAGAAACATTTCATACAACAGAATGGAAGTTAAGCCTCTTTGAACTAGGGGGCAAATGGATTGCACAGATCTCTAATTACCTTCTGAGTGTATTAAGGCTTGAGAGCACAGCAAATGATATTAGAAGTCTGAATTTTGAGCAGTGTTAACAGAAATGTTTCAAACTTTTGGGAACTAAACTTTCGGTAATCTTACAGCGCTCTACCAGTATCTACTATGTCTCACCTGTGCAGGTATACCAAGTCTGGATAAGGCCCCAGATAATAGTGCTACACTTATCACAGGTCTGTTTCACACTCTTGCTCTTTTCCTTGGAGAAGCGGTGTTCCAGTAGGACTCTCAGATTAGGCTCATCTTCCTCTGGATCCTTTAAAATGATGCATGCGAAAAACAGAACACACAAAACATGGCTGTAACACTGTTTTGTGTACAGCTGCAAGAGATAGCAACCTATGTGCAATTAAGTTTGTTTACACTTACACTACCTTGTGTTTTGTATAGCCTAAACAAAACTGATGGGAATGCATAAAAAAACATCAAGGATTAATTTCCTGATGTATGAAACTCTTTTGATTCACAAAACCTTTCTGCTGAACTTGGACCAGAAGGCATAACAGCTGTCTTACGATGGAATTTGAAGTGCTCTGGGTAAATTTCATAGATAGAGATATAATTTGAGTTGCTTCACATGATAAAGTTCAAAATGAAAGAGATTATGGATGTTAAGAATCAAGCTAAGCAATTGGATATGTTTCACTGCTTTATTAAAAAAAAAAAAGAAGAAGAAGAAGAAGAAGAAGATTCCTTTGTCCGTTATTATCACCGTGACTTATTCTTTAACATTTTTATTATGTTACAGTAATCAGTGTGACACACTGCCTGTGTGTTAAAGTGCTCTTGTTAGTGTTTAAGTGTTGTTAAAGTGAAGAAACTGTCAAATTGTTAAGACATGGGGGGTGACTTCAGAGTAATCTTTCTTGGTCAACCGGGATCTTGCTATTGGAAACAAACTAATGTCCTGAAAAACAAAGCCAGATGATAACTGATACCTTCTTTACTGTTGATGAATGGGCTCGATTAATGAGCTTGTTTATTTGAAAGCCCTTTAATACACTAGACTGTAAAACTTTGTTTTCTATCATTTATAAACAAAAAAGGGAATTTATGCAAACTCTTCGCCAACTCTTCTCCAAGAATGTCTGCAATGCATTTTCACACATTTCATAAAGGGCAAAATACTCAAATCAAAGCAGTTTGGAGTGTTTTAGATGTTTTCCTACCATAGTTATCACCCTGTATACTTACAGGCCCAACAGGATCACTAAGAATCTCCTCCTCCTCTGACATCAATCCTCCACACATGGTCACTTCTCTAAGGGTTTCTTAAGAGTTCAACTTGATTTTAAGGTTTTGACCTTACTAAGTCTTTCAGATGACATTATAATTTAAAACTATATTAATAAAACTGAACTTTGCATTTGTACAGATTTCCATTAATATTTAAAGCCTGTTACACTTATCCAAGAACACACAACTACAATATAATGTCATGCCCTTCTCAATTTTCCCCTCAGTCCCAACCTTAAGTTCTTGCAGTTTGAGGCGCAGGTGGATAAGTTTCACTACATTGTCTTTTTGTCTCTCTGAATGCTCTGGCAGCTCCAAGATCAGCTTCTTACATTCTTCTATTGCCAGTTTAAGCTGTTCAATGTCTGATGCCACAAAAGAACCCTGTAACATGATATGAAAATGGAAGACAAGGAAGTTTCACATTTTACAGTATAAACAGTTAAATTGAAAGTGATAAATTATTTTTACTGGGTTACAAATCAGAAAAACGTAAGGAGTACTTACCACAGGCCTTGAGAAGTGATCCTCAGCTAGACCGAGGTCCATGGTTCGATCTGAACTGTGTGTTCTGGTCCCAGGGAAAACCTCAGGTCTTGCTTCTAAATTGAGGAAAACATGGCATAAAGCGCTGTTCTTCTTGCAAGCATACACACTACATTCTGGCAAGTGCACTCGGTCACGCTTGCTAATTTCATCCACATGACTATTGCAACTCAAGGCATTTCCTACACTGACTTACCCCTTACGAATTCTTGAAGGGAAAGAACAGCACAAAAATGCAAATGGAAAATTCATGTGTGATTATCCACCAACATTTGGCAATGTATAACTCTGTCAGTTGACAGTCAGGGCGTAGGCATACAGAGTCATTACAACTGCTGTTCACAGGCAGAATGAACTTTGAAGTGCTTTATTACTGCTTTATTACTGTCACATTTACATGTCTGCAACCAATCTCTTTCACAATTATTCGTTCTGAATGTGTCGAAATTAGTTAAACCATCCGACATCCCAGGGCTAGCGATTTTTCCAGTCGGGCTACCAAAATCCATCTCAGCCCTGCCTGTCGGGCTATCATAGGAAGGAAAAATATATGTCAATGCTTCTGCATTCTTTCGCAAATGTATCTGGGTAATTTTGTCATTGGCATCAATGAGTCACTGTCAATATGTGACATATTGAAATGCCGTTTGAATTTGTGCTTTTTTTGCGTTCACTTTCACGTTGCGATCGCATGAACTGTGTATAGAGAGCGGCAGTACTGATTGGTGAGTGACAGATTAATTGCGCACCAATTCCTCTGGCATCGTCTTATCAATCGTTAGCTTACTATTCAAACATGACAAGTAAAATCTCCCGCAGCAAGCTTAAACATGTGATAGAGGTTGATTGCGCAGAGAATCACTGACCGTTATGTAAGTACGTGTGTAAAAGCAGATGGATTTACGCAGGTATTTTAGTTCTGCAGAGCCAAATAAGACAGTTCAGGGTGAAGAAGGGAGAGCCAAAGAAAAGCCTACCACAAAACAGAAAAGTTATTACAAATCAGACGATGAAGCAAAAAGAAAGCGCAGCTTTTTTGGTTTCATGGACAAAATAATTTCTGTGGCTGGAATATGATAAGCTAAGTAACATAATGTTCTGCCGGGTGTGTCGTGAGTTTCCCTCAAATTCTGAGTCGGCAAGCGCCTTTGTTACTGGGACCAGTAATTTTAAGAAAGACCCCATCAGAACCCATGAGAAATGCAAGAAATGCATTATTGCTCAGTCTGCAGTATCGTTCCCAGAACAAACACCAATTTCAAAAAACATACTAAAAATAAACCAAGCACAACAAGAAGTCCTGGAAAATCTGTTTAGAACAGCGTACTATGTTGCAAAGAGTGAACTACCATTGGCAAAATTTAGCAGCCTTTGCAAACTTCAAAAGGCAAATGGCCTAGATCTCAGTTCCACTTACCTGTGATTTCAGTGGAAATTTCAAAATCAGGATCTGACACACACTGATTCATGTCCTACACAGTTCTTACAAGTTCATAGAAATTTCTGTTCAATTTGAACCAAATATTTGAGTTGATGATTGTAATTTTTATACAGTTGTTGTAATTTGTGTTTTAACTATTTTTTGATTGATGTTTTGTTTCCTTTACAATATAATATTGTAAAGGAAACAAAACATTAATCTTTTTTTTTTTTTTGGGCAACTTAAATTTATTTTGGACTACCAAAAACTGAAGAGTGCCTGCCCGAAGGGCTACCAGGAATTTTGAAATTCTGCGAGCCCTGTATGACTTGTACTTTTGTTTAAAAACAACAACAACAAGAACAACTTTGTATAGAATTTGTGTTTTACCAATCTCAATTTCTTTCATACAGTTTAATAATTGGCACTAGATGTTGGCAGAATGATCCAAATATCAATATTATTGATGCAAATGCTGGCCATGGCATTAGACAGATACTAGTGTGATAGGATCGATGCTTCGTTTCTATCCTCCAAGTTCAGTATGTAGCCTACTGAATTGCGTTAAATAAATGGGTTTTTTTTATAGTTTAGTATATTTTAAATTTAAAATATACTAAACTATACACTATATGCTACTATACTAAATTAACATTCATAAAAATATACACAAAATATATACTTTGTGTTGACTGTCACATCTATTTTTTCATATATAACATATTTAATCAACAGAAGTTCACCCAAAGTGCTTTAGAGACAGCACATTTACATTCCTGGTCTTCAAAAAACCCCAAGTTTCAAGATACATGAAAATCTGAAAGATGTTTTGCTATGTGTTATGGTGGAAAGTAAAATTACAGTGACAGTGATTAAAATGTGATCAGCATTAGCAAATTAATGACAATTCTTCTCATAAATCATTACGCACTAGCCTGGCCTACATAACCTGTCTACAAGTTAAAACTATCAGTATCAGTACTGATATCAGCAATACTGGCCCTGCATTTACTTGGTGTAAATACATCAATATCAAAATTCGCGCAGCAGTAATTGACACCAACACTTTCACAGTCTGATCAATATCCATTCTTTACTCAAACTGATGTTTGGCATTTTCATCTGTTACAATACAAGTCTGAATTTAAATTAAAGCAAGTGACAAATTAACATTTAAAGTGCAGTGAGAGTAAACTTTCAGCTATCCATACTGACAACTGAGATTATTCTGATGAAGTGAAAAATTAGTAAACAGAACTGAATGATGGAATTTAAAGGTTGAACAAATTCAAATATATTTAAAAAGATTAAGTCAGTGTTTAGCTATTCAAATAATGTTTAATAAACTAAGAGAATCACATTATACAAACAGTGTTGTTACCTGCGTACACCTCTGAACAAAACATGTTGAAGGAATTCAGCCTTGTAGTTCCCAATAGACTCAGAGTAATGAGGCACCGTAGAATCAGAACAGCTATCAGTGAGTCATTCTTGCTCATCAAAAAGCAAAAAGTGTATTTTTCCAAGTCCTAAATTACAGGAAGTGTTACTGAAGTACTGCTTACTCCCATGCGTTTCATTTCCTCTACTTCAGCTACAGCATTGCCAACTTCCTTTTCCTTAGTCACAACAGACCAGTGTCCTTGCTCCTTATGCATTAGCAGGATCTGCCCTACATTACAAGGAAACTATTAAACTAAGTGCACAAATTGATGCAAGCTCAATCATTCAGGTAGGGAAATCTCAAAAAGTTGACTCTGTTCATCTGGATGTAGCGTTTTCCATAGGAGAAATGTTTCGTCACTCATCCAAGTGACTTCTTCCGTCTCAGCTGACTGCTTAATGATCAAGAAACTGACCTCACAGCCCATGTTTGTCAGTGGTGCTAGTTTCAGTTATTATGCAAATGTCCTGTTTATACGGTTGGGAAAACCTGCTGAGACTGAACAAGTCACCTGGATGAGTGATGAAACGTTTCTGCACAAATTAACTTTAATGAGGGATTTATTGCCTATACGGTAACTGAGATATACTGCTTGTGTTTTTGAAAAGGAAGCAAACATACATAGTGACATTAAGAAAAAACTGGAACCATGAATGCAAAAAAAACCCACTTCCCACTGCAACAACAAACTGTTTTAGAAAGGTAAATGCCAAGATCACAAATACCACTCGCTGTAATGCAGCCGCAAAGCATCACAAAGCCACCACCAGGCTATACAGATGGCTGTATAACTGCAACTTTAGCTTCCCGCAATTAAATGAACATGATTGAGCAATATTTAAAATGTGTGCGCTCCCAATTAAAATCCAAAGTAAAAACAAATCAAGCACTGTGATTGGCACATGCCTCCATGTGTTAATCACAGCTGTTGGCGGTTCCTGGACTAATTTGGAGTAACACT